AGGGGCTCTGATGCCGGGAAAGGTGGAAGGAAAGAGAGGAAAAGGAGCAGAAGCAGGGAGGGGGAGGGGCTCAGTTGCAGTGGGGGGAGGGGGATGCTGAGGGAGGACCTGGAGGAGTGGGGGGAGGGGCTCCCCAGAGAAAGTCCATCCATTGGGGGGGGGGGTTAAAGGTGGACACCAACTTGATGGCACAAACCATCTTTAGCCCATCTCGTTATAGAAGATCTCCCGTCTTTTCCCCACCAATTAAAGCGCTGGGGATGGAGATGACTTCACAGCAGTTCATTTCATGGCTGTTCAAAAACCCGACTCTTCGCCTAATATTTCTTCTTTTTAATTTTTTTATTGTTTTTAATGTTTTTTTTTTAATAATTTCATGTACATACCTGTTTTTAGCTTTGTGTATCCAACCCAGTCACTTGTTGTGAGATGGGTGGTTATATAAATTTGATAGCTAGATAATATAGAGGGGGCGGTAGAAAGATAGATAGAGATGATAGATAGATGACAGAAGAGATAGATGATAGAGATAGATAGATAGATAGATAAATAGATAGATAGATAGATAGATAGATAGATAGATAGATGATAAATAGATAGATAGATGAGAGAGAGAGAGAGAGAGAGAGAGAGAGAGATGGATAGATGAGAGAGAGATGGATAGATGAGAGAGAGATGAGAGACAGAGAAAGAGAGATAAATAGATATATAGACAGAGACAAGATAGAGAGAGAGATGTAGATAGACATAAAGAGATGAGAGAGATGAAGGGGTGGCAGGCAGAGAAAGAGGGAAAGAGGGAGAGAAGGAAAGGGAGAAGGGGATAGAGAGAGAGAGATGATACATAGATGAGAGAGAGATGAGAGAAAGAGGATAGACAGACAGAGATAGATAGATAGATATATAGACAGACAGACAGATAAGATAGAGAGGGAGAGATGTAGATAGACACAAAGAGATGAGAGAGATGAGAGGGAGAGAGAGAGAGAGAGAGAGAGAGATTCTGGGATTTCCAGACCGCTTCCTCCCAGGACTAGCCTGGACTGGCCTTGCAGAGTTGCTGAGATCAGCCCTGCAGAGGGAGGGATTTTCACCTGCTGACAGGGAGTCTTTCCTCTCCAGATCATCCGAAAAGCCCTTGTGGAAGAGAGAAAATAGCGTATCCGAGACAAGACTCAAATGAAGGAGCTGCTTCTTTTTTACCTGTCATATAATGTGTTTGATTTCATCTTCCAAAATACATTCTCCTTGTGGCACACCGATCAAAATGGGGGAAATAATCTAATTGGTTAATTCCCATTTTCAAAAGCACGCTTTCAAACCGGCGCAAACAATGGCAAGAACACTGGATTAAAAAAAAACCCATGTAAGGCAGAGTTAGGGGGGGTCTTATGGGGAACAGAAGGAGACCATTTTTCCTAGGCAGCAAAAGGGGGGAAAGAAAGGGAGCAAATGGATCAGACTCTAAGGCAGGATTTGGCCCGAAGGCTTTGAATTAAAGTGGTTGGGAGTCTCCTGGCCTTTCTCCACCTTTGATTTCAGTGCCCAGGGGAGGCGCCCAAATGGGAAACATCCAGAATCTGCTCTGCAAAAATGTAACAGAATAATAATACAGCTGGAAGGGACCTTGAAGGTCCTCTAGTCCAGCCCCCTGCCCGTGCAGGAGATCCTATACCACTTCAGACAAATGGCTATCCAGTCTCTTCTTCAAAGCCTCCAGTGATGAAGCAACCACAACTTCCTGAGGCAAGCAGTTCTACTGATTAATTGTTCTCACTGTTAGGAAATTACTCCTTCAATCCAGATCTTCCATCCATTGCTTCTCGTCCTGCCTTCAGGGGCTTTGGGGAATGGCTTGACTCCCTCTTCTTTGGGGCAGCCCCTCAAATATTGGAAGACTGCTATCCTGTCCCCCCTCGTCCTTCTCTTTGTTAAACTAGACTTACCCAATTCCAGCAACCGTTCTTCGTATGTTTTAGCCTCCAGTCCCCTGATCATCTTTGTTGCTCTTCTCTGCTCTCTTTCCAGAGTCTCAACTTGTTTTTTACATCCTGGCGACCAAAACTGGTTGCGATATTCCAAGTGTGGCCTTACCGAGGCCTTGCAAAGTGCTATTAAAACTTCAGGTGATCTTGATTCTGTCCCTCTGTTGAGGCAGCCTAGGACTCTTAGGGAGATTGGAGTCCAGTGGGGCTGACCCCCTAGTTCCCTTCTCTACTTTATGGGGGACAAAGTTGTCTGCTAGGTTCATCAGGAGCCTGCTGGATCTCCCACTAGGCCCAAAAAACTGTCTCCCAGTTGATGCCAGGGTGGTCAAAGTCCCCCATTGCTATTTTGCTCTGCTTTCTCCATGCCTTAGCTAACTGATTAAGAAAAATTTCATCTATTTCCTCTGTTGGGTTGGGGGGCTTTGTAGTACACACCAATGGTGATGTCGTTCTGTTTCCCCCTTTTTAACCCAAATGCTTTCAAGGAGATTTTTGTCTTTGTTCTGTAGCATTTCTGTAGTTATTTCTTATATATAGCGCAACTCCACCTTTTATTAAGTCTGTTTCTTTTCAACACTTTAAATGTTAAGATACTAAATTTAGTAGATGGAACAGTAAAGTGGACAATGGGCCGGGACACAGAGTTCTAGTTGATTGGTTGGAGAGTGCTGGCTCCTGCATGAGGTTATCTATGCAATGATTGGTTGCTGTGGGTGTAAAGGGGGCGTTTCCCACTTTTCCTCCACCCTTTTCTTCTGTGTGCTCCATCTGCTGATTGGTTTATCTCATGATGTTCCTGTGTTCCTGATTATCTTGTCTGCTGTGAATATAGATGCTAAATAGGTTTATGTAACACCACAGGTTTATGTCATTTGGACAGCTGCTGTGCAATATAAATGTTATACTTATGGATGTAAAACTAAAAGTTTGTGTCAGTGTCTCCCACTTCATTTGAATAGCTGCTGCGCAATTCCTCGACATTAAATCTCTTAAGTTGTGTCTTCCAGTTGTGGGTTTCATCCCACTAAATTTCGGTGATTGCCAGGTCAGACCTGCCTTTGGGTTTCAAGTTCTCCCTGGTTTATTCCTCGTACTTTGAGCATTGGTGTAGAGGCATCTGAGTCCCTTTTGACTGATCCTATTTGGTTTCCACATCCCCTCTTTTTGTGTCTGAGTTCTCCTTTTTCCTTTCCATTTGGTTGATTGCCCAGAGATTTGTGCTTGGAATTAACTTCTAAAAAATCTGTCTCTCTCCCCCTTCAGTTTCAGTTTAAGACTCTTCAGATAGGACAAGCCAGTTGGCTTCCGAAGATGACATTCTCAGTTCTTGTGAAGTGTAGCTCATCTCCTGCCAGAAGCCCCTCATGTGGGTATTGTAGACCATAGTCCAAGAATCCAAAGTTCTCTCAACAGAATCATCCTCTAAGCCAGGAGTTGACTTCAAAGGCTGTGCATATCCTCATTGGATGCTGATCTTTATTGGGAGTACAGAAGGGGACACCACCTGTGCTCCCATATCTTTGGCTTTAAATCTCTACCTGCTCATAATCTCTTGATATTGTTTCCAGGGACTTTGTGTATCATTCATCCCCACATGAAAGAGGAGAAAGGAATAATAAAATAATCTGTGGATTATTTTTAGTAAGCCTCTCACTCACATCTTCCTGGGAAACAGCTAACCACTAGTTTGACTGTCCATTCTGCAAAGTGCTGGTTCAGTTCCTCTGAGCAATAAATCCTCAATCACCAACACATGACTTTGTTTATCTTAAGGAAGTCTGGTCTCATTATTTTTTCTGCAATTGATACATTTGGTGTTGTCCCTTTTCCAGGTACCCACAGGTCCTCTTCCAAGGGAGGGGGTGTTATTGACAGAAGCCCAAGTCTTCTCTGTGTTTGAGACAGTTCCTCCACCAACCTATTCTTTATGTGCCCCAGATGAGGAGTGGGAGGAGAAAAATCAGCCCTTGGAGATCGATGCCAGGGGAATCCTGCAGAACCAGTCTGGATGGCTTCTGGAGGGGGCAAGGCTCAGTGGAAGAGCTATCTAGGGGCATCTAGGGGTGCTGGGGAGAAGGGAGGGGCCTTCCACTCAGAGTTGCCCCCTTGACCTTTCCTCTCTCCCGCAGAGCTGCTCTCCCTCCCTCCCCCCTGATGGCAAATGTCTCCTACACCAGGAATGGCTTCGGCTGGACTTTCTGCTCTGGCCCAAAGAGGCCCTGGGGAAGACACCCTTCCCAACACCCCCTGCCCAGGAGCCCTCAGACCAGGGAGATGGACATCAGTGCAACCTTCCCAGAGATCAAGGCCATTGGCCACAGGCCCACTCAGGGCCTTTTTTGTGGGGAGTCTCAGATGAGCTCCAGTTGGGGGCCACACGTGAGACTCGCACAGGACTCCCTCTGTTGGGGACCATCGGGTCAAGATGGGGTCCTCCACCCAGGACATGAAGCAGGAGGACTCTCAAACTGTGCAGGAGACACTGCTCTAGGGGTCTCATCTGCCCAGAGGGAGGGGGCTTCAGACCTGAAGGCAGGACAGGCTGTGGGGCGGCAGCAGTGATAAGTGGGAAGTCCTGGAAAAGGCCTTTGGTGTCTCAGGTGGAGGGAGGAAGGCGTTGGGTGCCAAAATGGGGCAGGACCCTCCAGTTGTGAAGGAGAAAAATGGCAGAAATGGCTGGGTGAGTGTAGGGGGAGTCTCGGGTGTCTCCCAATGGCTCCCCACAAGTGCTTGAAGGGGATCACGCCTTCTGGCATCCTGGTCCTCAAAAGGAGGCTTGAGGGGAAGCAGAGAAAGGGGGCCCCCAAGCAGGAGGGGAGTCCTGCCCCTTCCCCTCCCTGGATCTGCCCACCCTCCTCCCAAACCAGTTTTGACTTCGGACCTGAAGTAGCTGGGATGGTTGATCCAGAGGCAGGGGAGGTGTCAATCTGGGAAGGGGAAGGGGAGAAGCAACAACCCTCCTGCGGGGAACAGGGAGGAAAGAGGAGGAGGAAGAGGAAGGAGGAATTCCAGGATTTTTCCTACAATGTTTATTCTTTTATAGCAAAGCGAAGGGAAGGGATTCGGATGAAGAGTAATGAAGATGAAGCTGCTGTGGATTTAACGCCGGAAGAGATTTGGGTGTCTGGACTGACAGGCAGGTCCAGAGTCCCAGGGGTCAGTCTAGATGGTCTCCACCGCTCCCTCACAAGAAAGAGAGGCCTTCAAAGGAAAGCCAGAGGGGTCTCAGCAGGAAAAGCTCCAGGCTGCCATTCTCCTCCTCCCCCCAGTCTAAAATCTTGACCCTCCATTTTTCAGAGGTTGCAAAAAAGAGACAGAAATTCATCAGCTAATGGAAAAAAGCCCCTTCCTCTCCCAACAGGAAGCAGGAAGGACAGCAGGATTAATTCATGTGTGCTGTAGAAAAAAAGAGATGGGGAGAAAATTAGAAAATAAAGTGAAGCCAGTGTAAATAGCTTATTATTCCTCTCTTTCAGCCACCCCCCCAGACAGGCTCACATTGCAGGGGGGGTGGTTGATAGGTAGGAACAAAGTGAGGGAGTGCCCCCCCTTTTTTTCAAAGAGGAAAAGGATGCAAAGGACCAGAAATTCATCTCCAGAGGCTTATGGAATTCACCCCAATTGACTTAACTGGGGGGTTAATCAAGAAAGGAAGCCTCCCCCCCCAGACGTTTCATATGAACAAAGAAGATGGGGCCAGGATGGGGAGTGGTAGCAAAGCTGGGTGTCGCTTTGCCAGAAATTGTGTGAAATGTCACAAGGAGACTTCCCTTCTCCTTTGCAATTTCCCAAAACCTGGAATCTTCCTGGGCCAGATTTTAGTGTTTATGTGTGTGTGTTTGTTTTTGATTGCACTGTTTTCAGGTCTCTGTAATGAAAAGCTGCCCAAAATTTCAAATATTTGTGTTATCCACAGCTAGGACGTTTTGTTCGGGCACATTTTTCTTTTAAAGGATCAATTAATGAATATTAAAGAAACATCTATAACTTGGGGAGAAACTCACCTGCAGGAGGCTGGATGGGAATTGCTGGAATGAGAAAAAGACCCAATCAGGACCCTTCGTGGGATGGAGGACTCGGGGGGGGCTCCCTATCGATAGCCCATAATAGGTTGCAGGATGCTCACTTATACAATAGACCCTCAAAGAACAGAATTTCCCAAGCAAATCTCCAAGGGGGCCTCCTTGCCATCTGCTAAGCTTGCTGAGAGGCCTCCCCTGGATGGTCCCCTCCCCACAATCTCTTATCCAGCCCCCCAGACTCACCTTTCTTGCTCTTCAGGTACAGGGAGAGCCCCATGGCAAAGAAGATCACCCCGATCACGGCTGCCACGATCCCCGTCCAGAGTTTGCTCCTGGCAGAATTGGAGGATCGGGGCTCTGGGAATGGAGAAGGAGCCTCACTGAGTAGGAAGATCAGGGCCAGCTTCCTCCCCCCAGGAGGGTCCATCCCAGCTCCCCCCACAGGGAGGGTATCTCCCCCCTTCTCAGGGCAGGAGGGGGTCCCCAGACCAGAGGGGAGGGGCTCACCCCACTGGACGCTGATGGGGGCCTCCAGGCTGGCATGCTCCACCTGGCAGGTGTAGACGTCCCCCCGCTGGGGCTGGGTCTCCAGCATCACGTGGAGCTGGTAGGTCCAGTCTCCGTTCTGGAGCTCCTCCCCGAAGGCCACGCCCTCCTCCTCCGGCCGCCCGTTCTTCAGCCACCGGACCTCGATCTCCACGGGGTAGAAGCCCCTCACGATGCAGAGGAGGATGGTGTTAGGGGAAGTGGGATCCATCTTGGTGGGGGAGAGGGAGACGGTGGGCTTGGCTGGAGGGGAGGAGGAGGAGAAGAGACATGGGGGGAGACAGAGGAGGGGCCAGAACAGGAGACCATGTTGGTTAGTTCAGGCCAAGAGCCCTTTTCAGTTTTGAAAATAGTATTTGTTTTAAGTCATTTCCAAAGCAAATTGCAGCAAGAAATTAAATGGGATCCTGAAAGATGGAAAAACATAAATCGTTCCTGGTTGGGATCAGTTTCCATCATCAAATTGCACAAGTCCAACAGAAATAAATACTGGAAACGCCCCAAAACGGAAGGAATTTCCTGCCAGATGTGTGGGAGATCGAAAGAGACCCAGAAGACGGGGAAGACACACAGCATGTTTTGGAGAATTGCAGGGATCCCATTCAAAAGAAAACCACATTTTTAAAAAAATAGGTAGAATACCGGAACATTTATTTATTTATTAAATTTGTTTGCCACCATCTCATGATAAAATGACTCTAGGCAGCTTACAGCAGGGCTTTTCAACTGGTGGTATTTGTACCACCTGTGGTACATGAACACATGGCAGATGGTATGCTGCCCTGCCCAGCCAAGTGTAGTGGGGGAGCGAACGAGCCAGCAAAGGAAGGACTTACTGTGAGTGGAGCTGCAGAGTGGCTGGGGCGAGGCAAAGGCCCCAGGCTCATTTCCGGTTCACCCCCCTCCCCCATGAGAAAGGAGGAGGAGGGGGCGGAGACAGAAGAGGCTATAAAAGGAGGCAGTTTTGGCCAGGAGAAAGAGAGAGAGAGAAAAAAGCAGCCTTGGGAGGAGGTGGAGTCAGCTCTAGCTGCACAGAATGGAAAGAAGGAGTAGGGTGGGGGAGGGGAGAGGAGATCAAGCAGGCCGGCCACAAGTGGATCTACAACTTCTGTGGCAGCCACCTGTGCTGGCAGCAACCAAGAGGCAAGGAACGTAGGGAGGAGGAGTTGCTCTCCATGAGGAATGAAGAAAGGCAGCAATGAAGAAAGGCAGCAATGAAGAAAGGCAGCACTAGCTGGAGGTGAGGCAAGGAGGGAGATGGAGAGTGGAAGGATCCTTTTGTGCTTTTGTGACTTTGAAGTTCTGGGATTTGTGCATTGGAGATTTTGTGTTCTTAAGGAGTGTTTGGCAATTTCTATTTGGCTGATGGCTGATGTCTCATGTTAGCTTCTACTGCTCTGCTATTCTTAGGTGTAAGATTTGCTGCAAGGGATTTTGAAGTATTTTTCTCCTGAATGGATTTTGCCTGTACTTACAAATGGAGACATTTGGGGAGGCTGCCTTAGCCAGCAGCCATACTTACTACATGTTTTTTCTTCCTTAAGTACCAACTGCACTCCTTAACTTTCCTTTTTAGCCAGTAGCTAATTCTTAAAGGGGAATGCGCCTTTTTAAGCTAGTTCCCTCAATGGCTTGTCTTTTCCGTCTCTGGCGGCTTTTCCTTGTTCAATGAATATATGGAAGAAGGGAAATTGGGGGGGTCAAATTCGTCCTTCAGAAGGAGATGGGAATGAGAAAGAGGGAGGGAGGGAGGGAGGGAGGGAAGGAAGTCTCACCTTAGCACTTGGCCACCAGCAGCCCTGCCAATGACTTTGCTTGTCAAAAGGTTGCAGAAGGGGATCACATGACCCTGGGACACTGTGACCATCATAAATATGAATCCGTTGCCAAGCATCCAAATATAAATCACATGACCCTGGGCATGCTGCAATGGTCATAAGTGTGAAAAATGGTCATAAATCATTTCAGTGCAATTGCAACTTTGAACACGGGTTTTTTGGTCATCAAGTTTTTGACACCTTGCTAGGTGGTACTCGAATCTTGCCATATATCCTAAAAGTGGTACAATCAGTCATCAATAGGTTTAAAAGACCTGGCTTACAACATTAGATCATTAAAATCCTAAGAGATAAATATTTCTATTGCAATCAAAATGGAATTCCCAGTCGAGATAAAATTACAGTTAAAAGATAGGGAGGAAAAGGAGGTGTGGGGGGAGGGGGGATTGCCTCTGAATTCAACAACTACCTCCAGTGATTTTGAGCCAGATTTCGCCTAATCTGTACTTGAACCTTTGGTTTTTTCTGCCCAGGTTCCCCCTCCCCCAACCTCTCCCTGCAGCTTCCGGCCTCCCTCCCAGCCCCATTTCCCCTGGGGAGGGAGGTGGGGAGGGGTCCCACCCTCCTGCCTGGGTGGGGGGGCAGGGAGGGGTCTAGGACAACTCAGCCAACTCAACGTGGCACAAAAGTTACACAATAAGGAAGAAATGGAGAAAGAGAATCAGGAAAGGAAGGAGGCCGAGGGAGGAGGAAAATGAAATGTGAAGGACAAAAATTTAAAAAACATTTTTAAAATTATTTTAAATAATTAAATAAAATTGTTGAATTGTCCTGCAGTGAATTGCCCCATTCCGGACAGGGAGGGGGGAAAGGATCTGGGGGGGATCTTGGGGAAAGGGAAGGTGAGGGCAGTTGATGGCTGAGGAGATCAGGCAGATCCCAGGATCACAGAAGAGCCTTAGAAGGGATCCCTCTTGATCTCTTCCTTCAGCAAATGGCACAACTCTTGGGTGGATTAATGGGGGGGTGGGCTGAGTGAGCCCCCCCAAGAGGGTCCTTCTTAGATCCACTCCAGATCAGAGAAATTTTGCTAGCAATGTTTCTCTCCGTTGAGGGATTCTCTGATGAACAGCTCATTATATAAAGTTTAAGAACATGCAATTTTTAAAGGTTTGGTTATTTGTAATTTAGTCCTGGGATCTGGTCGGGATTTTTTTATGAACAGTTAATTATCCTCCTAGGTTTGCAGGGAAGAATTTTGGAGTAAAAATGAATTCCAGACTGAATATGCGGAGAACAAAATCTGGGTCGGTTCCCCTTAAATATTCCATAATTTCCGGAAGGAGCAGATACCCAGCATCTCCCTGTAAAATGCCTTTTTCTCTTGGGATTTGGTGGTTTTTCTCTCGTGGAAGAAAGATCTTATTTAATTCTTTGGTAGCATGTTATTTTGGGAGACCCTGACAAAAACAAATGGCAACAACCGCAGATGAAACACTTGTTTTGCACAATGAAACCTTATCGGTTGATAGAAATAAATAATAATAATATAAACAAATAAAACTAGAACAACAAATGTAGGCAATTTGCCAGGAATCTGGAACAGGGAACTAAACAATCTGAGGCTTCAGGACTGAATGAAGGCCCGAAATTCAGTTTTAATGTTTGTGGGGGTTTTTTGAATCTTTGCCCCCAAATGAGGAACTTTCCCAGATACGAAGAGGGAAGCGATTTGGCTGCAGGTGAAGCTGAGTCTGTGACCAAAAAGGGGATTTCAGGGGGGGCTTTTCTCCCAGACCCCCAACATTGGATGAACAACTGACTCTGAATAAAGGATAAAAAGAACTGAAAGAAGGACAGGGCACAGCAGACGAAAGAGCCTTCCCTGATTCCCTTTTCCAGATCTTTGGAAGTTCACTTTTTATCCGGAAATCCCAAAGGCCCCAGAGGTGAAGGGAGCCCCTCCCCCACTCCTGGCCTTCCGGAAAGGGGGGAAATGGGGGCTCTGGGGTTTTGGGGGGGCACAGAGGGGGAGGCAGCCATGGGGCCGGTCAGCCTCCTGAAGCCCCCCCCCCTTTTCATGAATGTTTATCACTGGATTTTAATCATTCCTGCCTTTTAAATCTGAAATTCTATAGATGATTTTGGTGGTTTGATATTTTATGTGTACACCATGCAAAGTCCCTCTGTGGGGGAGATGGAGAGAGAAGGTTTCAAAAGTTGATAAGTAAATCAATAAAGAAATGTTGATTTATTAATATAAAATATTATATTGAAATATTATATAGCATACAGATTATCTTGAAATATATCTATATAGTGGGCAAGAGAGAGATCTTGCTGGATTCCAGCCCCCCAAAGAAAAATATAATATTTGGTATAATTTTCTGGAAAGAAGTTTTTCTGGGCAGGGGAAACTTTGGACCTTGGGAAGAGAAGGAAGATCGTGGGGCCAATGGGAAGGAGAGGAATCTATTTCTACCCTTTGGCATGTTTCATTGTCATCACTGTAGAATTTCAAACTTTTTAAAGATAATTTATTTTTTAACCTTATTTTTTATACATTTTTATTTAGGGGTGATGTTATATCGTGCACCATCCAGATGAAGGGATTAGGACTATCAATAAATAGCAATAAATATGAATAAATACCAATGAATAAATTCCATAGATCGGAGAGCACAGAATAAAAAAGGGGCAAATCTTTCTCCGGGAGAGTCCAAAGAAACAAAAGGAAAACGGGGGGGGGGTCCCTGCTTTTCCACCCCCCGTGGAACTCCCCCTCCCCCACTCACCTCTCCGGCCAACCACGGAATCGCTCTGGAGAGCCTCGTAGTTGTGTCGGCAGAAGCGATCCACGGAGGCCTTCTCGTACTGCAGGTAGGTCTTATCGCTGTTCCACTTGTCCACATCGGGCTGCCCCAACGGAGTGACGGCCACGTATTTCCCGCGGTCGCTGTCGAAGCGGGAGATCTCCTGCCGGTCGTAGAACTGCCGCTCCAGGTGTCGCACCCGCTGCGTCCCGTTGGAGAAATGGCACTCGGTCTTCCACTGGGCCAGGAAATGGGCTGCGGGGGGGGGGTGGAGCAGAAAGAAGAGAGCCCTCAGGAGGGACTCCAGGGCCCATGGTTCCCAGCAGGGGCGGAGCGACGGGAAGGCGGAGGGGCGGGAGACCTGCCGCGAGGGACTGCCGGAAGGCGCCCCCTGGAGGAGGGATGGGGAACCGTCGGTCCCATCGGGATTCCCCCTTGGTGGGGGTCTGGAGGGGGGAGGAAAATGAGGGAGGGGGAAAGAGGGACCCCCCTCCATCTCCCGAGGGTGGAAAAAGGCAGGCAGAAGTTCAGCCGGTCCAGCCCTCCGTCCCTCTGCAGGGAACGCTGGATTCCCCCCCCCCCCAAAGCAGCAGGAAATATGGGGGGAGGGAAGAGACCCCCCCCTCTGGGCTGGAGGGGAAATAATATCCAAGCTTCTCTCTCCCTCTTCCTTTTGGGAGGAGAAGGGGTGGGGGGGGCCACAATAAGGATACCCACACCCATGCTCCTGGGCTCTCTCCCCCTTCAACCCCCACCTTCCCTTTTCCCCTTCCCCCCATTTTCAGCCCCACAAGCTGCCTTTGGGTACTTTTCGAGGCCTCTTTTCTGTCCCCCTCCCCCCTGCAGCCCCCCAAGACCACCTGAAAGAGAAGGGCTCCAGCCCCCTCACTAAAGGGGGAGTTTGGAGGAGCAACTCAGACCCCCCCCAATATCCCTCCCAATAGAGGCGGAGAAGGCGAGAGAGGGGAAGATTTTCAGTCTTGGGGGCTGCAGCTTTAGAGGGGTGTCCAGGGGGGGTTGTGGACTTCCTTTTTTGCCCCCTCCCATGAATCTGAACCACCGTCCCCCTTTCTCTATGTGCCTGGAGGGGTGGACTAGATGCCCCTTTAAGCTCCCTTAAGGCGCCCCATGAAGAGTCCAGGCTGGGTCTGCGGAGATTTCCGAAAGGCTGAGGGGAGCCGCGGGGGGAAGCAGGGGGGGCTCTCCAGAGACCCTCCCTCCCCCTGGTCTCGCTTGGCCCAAAGGGGCTTTTCCAAAAGGCAGCTGGACTTTCCTGGGTTTTCCCTTGAAGACGTTTCGCTTCTCATCCCAGAAGCTTCTTCAGTTCTGACCGAAGGTGGAGGGTGGAAGGACGGATATTCCTTGCGGTCATTTGGTCATTTTGAAAGTCGGTCCCTGGTTCTCTGAGGGGCCTTGAGGACCCCCAGGGGTTTATCTGGGCCCTCAGGGTCCCCTGAATTGGGGGGGCAAAGGGGTGGGGAGCCTTCCTGGGGCTGCTGAAAGGACCCCGTTGTAGGCAGGAGATAGGGGGTCCTTTCCCTCCCCCCACTCTTTTGAGGGGGACTGCTCAAGTTTGACCTAGATGGCTTGGGGGTCTGGAGATCTTGGGGAGAAAAGAACCCACAAATTCCCTAGTTACCCCCAAATTTTCTTTCCCATCAACTTCACCCCTACTGGCTGACTTTGCGTGATTTGTGGGTTCAGCCCTATTTTCTGTCACCCTGGAGCCCCCCAAGACCATCTCAAAGGGAGGGTCTCCAGCCCCCCTCACTAAAGGGATAGAGTAGAGAATTTAGGGGAGCAATTCAGACCCCCCCAATATCCTTCTCCCTCAGTTCCCCCCTCCCCTCCAGGTCCCGATTCAGCAATGGGGAATATGGGGTGGGGGATTCTGGGTCTCCTCCCGCAAGAAGGAATCCAAGCTCAACTCTCCCCTCCCCTTAAAAAAATGGAGATTCAGAAGAAAAACTGAGGTTGCAAAAACACTTTTGCCAAAAAAAACCCTCTTTTTCTTATACTCTTTGCTGGCCTTTGTGGATTCAGGTCTGAAAATGCCTCAGTTTCCCTCTTTCACTTTCGCTTTCTGTCTTCTTCCTCTTTCAGTGCAAGAAACTTCGGGGCTCAGGCGCTAATTCGGGGTGCGCGAGGTCCCCCTCCCACCCAGCCACGGGGGGCAGAGAGGGAGTCCAGCTGCCTCTTATCCCATCTCGGCTGCCTTCTCACGACCCTCGCCCACCTCGGCCATAATTAGGGAACGGGGGCTCCATCTTCGTCCTGCGGGGGAAAATGCGGCGAGGGAGACCACGCGGAGATCGAGGCACCTGCAGTCTCCCGCCTCTCTTGCCCTCGACCCCTTTTCCCATTTCTGGGGTCGCAGCCCCTTCCCCCCCCTTCCCCAGGGACACTAACGGCCCCTCCCAGCCCCTCTCCTCCCCCCTCCGAGCCCCCTCCTTACCAGGCGTCTCCTCCCCCCCTTCGCTTCCGGGGATCCGGGCCAGCGCCCCCGCCAGCAACAGAAGAGGGACCCCAACGGAGCCCATGGACGCCGCCCCACCAGCGCCCCCAGAGAGCGGGGAGAGAGACGCGGAGGCTCCCAGCCCCACAGGCGGAATTGGGGGGGTCTGGTTTGGGGAGAGGAAGCGGTTCCTCGGACTTCGTAATTGGGAGGGCCCAGAAAAGCGGAAGGACCAATGGGAATTCTCCCTTCTTCATCGTCATTGGTCTCCGGGCAGAGCCTCCCTTGAGTTCATCCACAGGAGGAGATAGTGCGAAGCCGAGAGAGAAGCGGAGAAAGTTGAAGGGAGAGAAGCGGAGAAAGTTGGAGGGGGGGGGATCCCTTCAGTCTGGGTGGGGGGGCTGCATTTTAGGGAGGTGTTTGATGCCAGCTCCGGAGAGGAGAGGAAGCGGCACTCGCACGTCCCCTGGGACAGGAAATGGGCTGCGGGGAGGAGGAGGAGGAGGAGGAGGAGGAGGAGGAGGAGGAGGAGGAGGAAGGGGATCAGGAGGGATTCCAGGGCCCATGGTCCCCAGCCTCCCCTCGAGGAGGGACACAGGCTTGTCAGAGGAGGGGAGGGAAACCTGCCGCGAGAGGCTACCGGAAGGCGCCCCCTGGAGGAGGGATGGGGAACCGTCGGTCCCAGCGGGATTCCCCCTTGGTGGGGGTCGGGAGGGGGGAGGAAAATGAGGGAGGGGAGGAGCTTAGTGAGGGATCCCCCCATCTTCCCAGGGTAGAAAAAGGCAGGCAGAAGTTCAGCTGGTCCAGCACTTGGTCTAAGTGTCTGCAAGGAATTTTAGATCCCGGTGGGGCCTCTTTCCCCCCCAAACTGGCAGGAAATAAGGGGGGAGGAAGAGACCCCCCCTGCGCTGGAAGGAAAGGAATATCCAAGCTTCTCTCTCCCTCTTCCTTTTGGGAGCAGAAGGGAAGGGGGGGGTCACAATCAGGATACCCACACCCATGCTCCTGGGCTATCCCCGCCCTTCAAGCCCCCCCTTCCCTTTTTCTCTTCCCCCCTCGCCCCCATCTTCAGCCCCACTAGCAACTTTTGGATGATTTTCGACGCCTTTTGCCACTCCCCCGACCAAATAGACCCCCCTGCAGCCCCCCCAGATTGTCTCAAAGGGAGGGGCTCTTAGGGGAGCAATTCAGACGCCCCCAATATCCTCCTCCCTCAGTTCCCCCCTCCCCTCCAAGTCCGGATTCAGCAATGGGGAATATGGGGTGGGGGTTCCGGGTCTCCTCCCCAATTCAGAGTCTCCCCCAAGAAGGAATCCAGCTCAACTCTTCCCTTCCTCTTAAAAAAATGGAGATTCAGAAGAAAAACTGAGGTTGCAAAAACACTTTTGCCAAAAAAAATCTCTTTTTCTTATACTTTTGGTGGCTTCTCTGGATTCAACTCTGAAAATGCCTCAGTTTCCCTCTTTCGCTTTCGCTTCCCGTCTCCTTCCTCGTTCAGTGCAAGAAACTTTGGGGGTCAGGCGCTAATTCGGGGTGCGCAAGGTCCCCCTCCCACCCAGCCACGGGGGGGGGCGAGAGAGGAGCCCAGCTGCCTCTTAACCCACCTTGGTTCCCTTCCCGAGACCCCTCTCCGTCCTCCTGAGGGAGGGGGAGGAGACCACGCGGAGATCGAGGCTCCTGTAGGCTCCCGTCTCTCTTGCCCTCCACCCCCTTTCTCCCTACTGGGGTCCCAGCCCCTCTCCTCCCCCTCTGAGCCCCCTCCTTACCGGGGGCCTCCTTTCCCCCTTCGCTTCCGGGGATCCGGTCCAGCACCCCCGCCAGCAGCAGCAGCATCAGGGGGAGCCCAGCGGAGCCCATGGACGCCGCCCCACAAGCGCCCCCCAAAAGAGGGGAGAGAGACACGGAGGCTCCCCGCCCCAGAGGCGGAATAGATGGGTCTGGAGTGGGGGGAGGGGGCGTTTTCCTCGAATTTCGGACGTGGGAGGGCCCAGGAAAGCGGAGGCACCAATGGGAGCCTCAGCGTCTCCCCAAGAAGGAATCCAGCTCAACTCTCCCCTCCCCTTAAAAAAATGGAGATTCAGAAGAAAAACTGAGGGTGCAAAAACACTTTTGCCAAAAAAAACCCTTTTTTTTCTTATACTCTTTGCTGGCCTTTGTGGATTCAGCTCTGAAAATGCCTCAGTTTCCCTCTTTCACTTTCCCTTTCCGTCTCCTTCCTCTTTCGGTGCAAGAAACTTTGGGGCTCGCGCTAATTCGGGGTCCGCACGGTCCCCCTCCTACCCAGCCACGGGGGGAGGGGCGATAGAGGGGCCCGGCTGCCTCTTATCCCACCTGGGCTGCCTTCCCGCGACCCCCGCCCCACCTCGGCCACAAAGAGGGAAGAGGGGAGGGGGCTCCCTCTCCGTCCTGCGGGGAAAATGAGGCGAGGCGGGGGCGGAGACCACGCGGAGATCGACGCTCCCGCAGTCTTCCGTCTCTCTTGCCCTCGACCCCTTTCCCCACTTCTGGGGTCCCAGCCCCTTTCTTCCCCCCACCCTCAGGGGCTCTGACGGCCCCTCCCAGCCCCTCTCCTCCCCCCGCCCAGCCCCCTCCTTACCGGGGGTCTCCTTCCCCCCTTCGCTTCCGGGGATCCGGGCCAGCGCCCCCACCAGCAGCAGCAACAGAAGAGGGACCCCAACAGAGCCCATGGATGCCGTCCCACAAGCGCCCCAGAGAGAGAAGAGACGGAGACGCGGAGGCTCCCAGCCCCAGAGGCGGAATCGGGGGGTCTGGATTGGGGGGGGGGGAGGCGTTTCCCTCGAACTTCGTACCTGGGAGGGCCCAGGAAAGCCGAGGGACCAATGGGATTTCTCCCTTCTGCAGCGTCATCGGTCTCCGGGCAGAGCCTCCCTTGACTTCGCCCGATGGAGGAGATAGTTCGGCGCAGTGAGAAGCGGAGAAAGTTGGGGGGGGGGAGGAACAATCCCTTCAGTCGGGGTGGGAGGGGCTGCATTTTAGGGGGGCGTTTCAGGCCAGCTCCGGAGGGGAGGGAGGACTTCCTTTTGCGCCCCCCCTCGTGATTCTCAACCAGAACCTCCTTTTCTCTGGGTGTCTGGAGGGGTGGATTAGATGCCCTTTCGGTTCCCAGAGGGAGCCTAGAGCAAAGTGGAGCCAGAGCTTGAGGGCTCCTCCTGGGCTCGCCCGGCTCAGTTTGGGGGCAAGAAGCCCCCCCCTCACAGGTCTGGACCATGTGGGGGGAACTGCGCGCGCGCGCACACACACACACACACACACACACACACACACACACACACAGACTCCGAAACTCCTCAGGCAACCGATACCAGCTGTTATATCAGAACCCCATCCTGCCCAAATCCTGGAGCACCGGGGAAGAACAGAGGATTGGAAAAGGGCTGAGGTGGTTCCCATCTTCAAGAAAGGGAGAGAAAAAAAACAGACCCAGGAAACTGCAGACCAATCAGTTTAACCTCAATATCTGGGAAGATCCTAGAAAAGATAATCAAAAAACAGATCTGCGAACAACTAGAAGCAAACAAAGTCATAACCGGTAGCCAGCACGGGTGTGTGGAAAACCAATCATGCGAGGCCAATCTTATTTCATTCTTTGATAAAGTGACTAAATCAGTAGACCAGCGAAATGCAGTGGACGTAGCATGCCTAGATTTCATTAAGGCTTTTGACAAAGTAGACCACAACCTACTCCTTAGTAAATTAGGAAAAGGTGGGATAAACAACATCACCACCAGATGGATCTGTAGCTGGCTGACAAGCCGTACTAACGAGTAGTCCCCAATGGCACCACATCCACATGGAGAGAAGTAAGCAGTGGGGTACCACAAGGCTCCGTCTATTCCAGTGATGGCGAACCATTTAAACACTGAGTGCCCAAACTGCAACCCAAAACCCGCTTATCCTTCATTGGGTGCCTGGTGGGCGTGGCCCATTGGGTCGGTGTGGCCCATCGGGTGGGCGTGGCTGTGGTGGTAACGGCAGACTGGGTGGGACCAAAAAGTTCAATCGATCAATTCCAACTTTGCAAGATCTTTTTTTTTCCCACGTGAGAAGTTGAAATTGATAGATTGATTGAACCTTTTTTTTTTTTTTTGCAGACGGCGGTGGAGGCCTAAAGCGGAAATGTTTTATGAAACTTAGCTGAAGGCCTAGGACTGGGGCGACAGCTCTGAGTGCCGCCTCTGGCACCCGTGCCATAGGTTTGCCACCACTGGTCTATTCTGTTCTGTTCTATTATTTATTTATTTATTTATTTATTTATTTATTTATTTATTTATTTATTTATGAGACTTATATACCGCTTTAACTGCGAGCACTCTCTAAGCGGTGTACACCAGTAAGCAAAGTATATATATATTTACATTGACCCCAACAATCTGGGTCCTCATTTTACCTACCCCGGAAGGATGGAAGGCTGAGTCAACCTTGAGCCGGTGAGATTTGAACCGCTGACCTGCTGAGCACAGTCAGCTAAAGTGGCCTGCAGTACTGCACCCTAACTGCTGCGCCACCTCTTCTATTCTATTCCGTTCCATTCCATTCCATTCCATTCCATTCTATATTCTATTTTGTTCTATTCTAACTTTAAAAATATTGGCTATAGCTTGCAATGTATCATTCTTCCGCTGCAAATGTATCCACCCAAGGAGAATATTCTGGGCTGCTTGCCAGCAGTTGTGTATTCGAAGCGTAGCCTGTGACAAGCTGTAACTGACCTAACCTGATAGATAAAGAAAACATGTATTCAAACGAAAAAAAGGAATCTTTTAGCCTGTTAGACTGAGAAAGTGCCTTAGTTATAAAGGGGGGGGTGGGATTTAGTAGCGTGTATGCCTTTTTTTCCTCTGTCTCGCTGTGCGTGTGACAAGAAATTGAGATATCGGGCTCTTCTTTGATTAAACAATAAAGCTGTATTCGGGCTGTGACCAGGGCGGTTGGTGCTTTCATTGTTCTTCTATGCCTTTTGTTGGAATATTCATGAACAGGAAGAGTCATGTGGTAACTCAGTCAGCCAATGCGAAGAAAGTGCTACTGAGTCCGTGCAAAAAGAGTATTGAGTTAGGAGCTGGATTTCCAGTCTCAAGGTTTTGTCTCTGGTCTGTCTCTGTAAGAAGCCTTCATTAAGCTATGTTGCTGTAAAGAAGAATGGTATTGTAAATATTTTTATATAAATATAAAGTTATTTGAATCAGCTAAATGCAGTCAACTGTGAAAGCTTCTGATTTATTTTTCACCAATAGAGAAATTAAAATTCTCTAACAGGTTATGGGCCCAGAGTTTACTAAGGACTGCATTGTAATTTAAA